CGGAACTGTGCAGCCGTTTCATTTTCTTCCAACATTGCCCTGTTGAACTGATGCCTGGCCTGCTCAGTAGTCAGCCCATATGCCCGCAGCAGTGCAGACTTCATGTCAGGGAATTTATTTTCAGGGCGTTCTAGTCGTCGAAGAATCCCTAAAGCTTTCCCATCAAATAGGCTCAGGAACTCAAATTCCTTAATGCTATCATCAAGCTCGTAGGCTTCTGCGAGATGCTCAAACCGGGAAATGTACATTTCCATGGATTCGCCCTCCTTAAAGGTGGGCATCTGGGGAAATTTCCTATAAGTGACGTTTTGAGTGGGAGAATTTTGGTTCCTTTCCGCTAAGGCCAGTTGGAACGCCCGTTCCCTTTGTCTCTCTTCACGTTCCAGCTTCTTTTCTTCCTTCTGAAAGTCTAGCTGGGCTAAGAGTTCTTCGTGCTCGCGTTGCTTGTCTTCTCTCTCCTCAGCCTTCTCCATGTATGCAACCGCCTCAGCCCCCTCCAGCCCGAGGGCACGTGCTTCCTCAAAAGCCGCTGCACGAGCTGACATGGTGTAGGTGTGGGCGATACAATTGTGCAATCATCCACGGTCTGGGTCCCTGTTCGGGCGCCAATTGTTACGTTTTAAATGCAGGAAAGTGGCTTTCTTACCGTAGAACTCGGATACCTTCACACTGGTTACTCACCCAAGAGATTATGGTGTATCACTACGTAGAATTTTGCTCTGCTTCCGGCACTCAATGCGTTATGTACTTGATAAATGATGATTTAGTGAATTCCACTAACTTCCAACATCCATCTAAGTTATTGGTTATACTTTGTCATAACCAATCAGTCATTACCCTTGGTAATAATAATAATAGAGGGATCACAGATACGGGCAGATGATTGCACTTACGTTTATTTGGCACAATTCCATACACTGGACTTATAATTTGCATGGATAGGTCAGTCACTCACATTCACGCCACAGTACCGTAAGTTATAAGGGAGAGTTTGTCAACCTGGTGAATTAATCGTTTAGATCTATTAGGCCGGCCTGGAGTGCTCTTGTAGCAAACAGGCCCTCACCATTGATCACTTCCTTTACAGGATGTGTTAACTTGTCGCTGGACTTAACAAAAATCTCGGGGATTTGCACACACAGACTCGTAGCACTGGTAGGACTGTATGGCCCCTGTTCTTAAGTCCGCGGAGCAGGAGGTCTTCTCTAACCCAAGGTCTAAAGCCCACTGGCTAAATTGGTTTTTTGAGGCGTGAAGTGATGAACAGTACACCACTGTCTCACTGGCCTGCCCCCCCCCCCCCTATCGGCTGGCTAACATGCCACTAATTGAAAACATGTCCCAGTTATGGCTGGCCGGTTACCTTATCTCTACCGTAAACAAACATTTGGGATGGGTTGTGCGGGAGGCCCAACGCAACCCATGACATGCAGTAACCAGAGATTGTGTTTTTGAAGAGCCAGAGGCCCCCATAATGTGTGACAGTGTATCAGGTGTTGGTAAACAAGGTCATGATAGATTTCTTTCATTGCTGTGAGAATGAGTGACTGTCGAGTGTGATACATGATACCGCACTGTTTATTGACTTTACTGTGAATGGCTAGTATGTGGTTTCTCCAGTTAAGTTTCTCATCAACAATAACTCAGAGGAATTTAGTATTTTGTTCGCGTTTGAGGACTATATTACCAAGGTACAGGGGGTTCAAGTCTGGAGGTAAGTTTTTTCTTCTGTGAAAGATCGTGTAGTGGGTTTTCTCAAGGCTTAAGGTCAGTTTATTCCGTATTACCCAGGTCCCGACTTTAGATAATTCAGTGTTCATAGTTCTCATCAGGGAATGGAGGTCTGAGTTGCTGGCATACTATCTTCTGCAAATAAGTTGTATTTTATGAGTGAGCTGGCGTGGACTATGTCGTTGATGCACAACAAAAACAGTACTGGACCGAGAATTGAACCTTGAGGGACTCCATACAAGATTGGCGAGGAGTCAGATTGGTGGTTATTATAACAGACATACTGCATCCTGTTGGACAGATATGAGGTAAACCAATTGTGGGACAGGCCCCTAACGCCGTAATGTTCAAGCTTTGAAAGGAGGATGGTATGGTCGACAGTATCGAAGGCTTTAGAGAGGTCCAAGAATATACCGACTGTGAACTGACTGTCATCAAAGGAATTTAAGATGTCATTAGTAAAGGATAGCAGAGCACTCTCAGTCGACCTTCTAGCTCTAAATCCAAACTGGGAGTCTGTAAAGATGTTATTGGCATTGCAGAAGGAATTTAGTCTATTACATGCTAGCTTTTCCAGTATCTTACTCAAGGCTGGGAGGACTGATATGGGGCGGTAGTTCTTGAAGAGACCTTTGTTCCCAGATTTTTTATATGCCGGGTGGACTTTAGCAATTTTCAGTTTATCAGGAAAGACACCACTAGTGAAGGAGGAGTTACAAATGTGGAGGAGAACAGGTAGTAATAAGTGGGCCACTTTCTTAAAGATGCTCATTGGTATATTGTCTCTGCCTGCTGCTGCATCTTTGGACATTTTTATGATGGCCAGTAATTCATCTGCTGTGACAGGGGATAAGAATAGTTCATTTTGCTGTCTGTTTTGCAGGTAGGCTCTAAATTCCTCATGGTGATCAGGGATGCTCTCTGCAAGATTTTTGCCAACATTAATAAAATATTCATTGAAGTGGTTGGGAATGAGGGAGGGTTCCGTCATAACTGAATCGTTTATCATGAAAGCTGAGTGGGGGGCCGAAGGCTGAGTGTTCCTGTTCTGAATAGAATTTATGACTTTCCAGGTTTTCTTACTGTCGCCTGATGCTGACTGGAGCTTATTTGTATAATAGTTACGTCTGGCATTTCTAACTGCTTGAGTTACTCTATTTCTGATACTTCGGTAAGCATCACCGAAAGTTATGGGTCTTTGTGCAAATTTCCTTTGGAGTTTGTGTTTTTCCTTTATCATTATCTTAATTTCGCTTGTGATATAGAGTTTGGAAATGGATACAGTTTTCACTGACTTAGTCTTGAGCGGGAAGCATTTATTAAAGCAAACATTGAAGATGCAAGAGAAATTACAGCTGTTCACGTTAGGGTTGTTGGAGGCATAAACAAGATCCCAGTTAGCATTCATTAGGTTGTTTTCAAAAAGGAGCATGTTGTCGACGCAGTAGTCTTTGTATTGAATTGAGACTCTACTAGACCTTTCAGGTCTTGTGGCTGTTTCATACATGGCATAGGACTGACAAGCCACACTCACAGACTTCACAATACTGAAAGGAATGGAACACGTAATTTTACAGGTAGTAGATAGTAGGCAGCTACCAAACAGGGAGGTACTACCGCCTGGGAAGATATTGGAAGCATAATGTATTGTCTAATGGTAGACCCTGCTGCCATATGTGACCAAGTCCCAGGTTGCTGATCTGACTTACTGCCTCATTTACACACAATTGCAGGGTCTCAATTGTTTCTCTTACTTTGACAACACAACATACATATATTGTTTCTCACTTTTGACATTTTTTGTATTTATTTGTGGCTCTATTATTATTATTATTATTATTATTATTATTATCACACACACACACACACACACACACACACACACACACACACACACACACACACACACCATGCCCCCCAGGCCCCGATGTGGGTCAGTGCCCGGGTGAGCTATTTCCCGTAAAAAAAAAAAAACCAGAACACTTATTTAAATGTTGAGCGCTACAGACATAAGACGACACTGCTCTCTCCACAGAGGGTGATAGACTACTATGTGGGTTATATCACTACTATGTGGGTTATATCACTACTATGTGGGTTATATCACCAATATGTGGGTTATATCACCAAAATGTGGGTTATATCACTAATATGTGAATTATACCACTAATATGTTGGTTATATTACCGAAATGTGGTTGGCACTGTAGACACGTAGGCAGGGTGTCTTTTTTTTACGGGGATTAGCCCACCCGAGCACAGGTCACTGACCCACATCGGGGCCTGAGGGGCGAAAATGTAATAATAATAATAATGATAATAATAATAATAATAATAATAATAATAATAATAATAATAATAATAATAATCATAATCATAATAATAATAATAATAATAATAATAATAATAATAATAATAATAATAATAATAATAATAATAATAATAATCATATAATAATAATAATAATAATAATAATAATAATAATAATAATCATAATAATAATAATAATAATAATAATAATAATAATAATATAATAATAATGATAATAATAAATAATAATAATAATAATAATAATAATAATAATAATAATAATAATAATAACAATAATAATAATAATAATAATAATAATAATAATAATAATAATAATAATAATAATAATAATAATAATAATAATAATAATAATAATAATAATAATAATAATAATAATAATAATAATAGTAATTCATAGTAAATAAAATTTATACTGTAATAAAAATACAAAATTAAAAATAAAATAATAATCATAACAATAATAATAATAGGAACACTGTAATAAACATTAATAAAGAACCATAAAGAAATAAAAAAAATAAAAAATCAATAGTGAGAAACGACAGTATGTACTGTATGTTGTGTTGTCAAAGTAAGAGAAACAATTGAGACCTCAATTGTGTGTAAATGAGGCAGAAAGTCAGATCAGCAACCTGGGACTTGGTCACAATTTTCGTGACGCCATATAGCAACAGGGTCTACCAGTAGACAACACATTATGCTTCCAATATCTTCCCAGGCGGTAGTACCTCCCTGTTTGGTAGCTGCCAACTACCTACTACCTGTTTAGGGTCAGCATGTGGGTGAAGTAGTTGATGAAGGTCGGAGTGTGGGCAGGGTATCTGAGGAAGGTGGGCGTGTGGGCGCGGTGGTTAACGACGGTAGGTGTGTAGGTGAGATGGTCGGTAGGTCTTAGGAAAGTGGGCAGGGTGGCTAAAGAAGGTGGACGTGTGGGTGGGGTGGTTGAAGAAGGTGGGCGGGAAGGCAGGGTGGCGGGCAGTAAGGCAACAGCCATCAGTGGGTCAAGAAGCATTATGTTGCCCTGGGTAGCGTGCCCCCTCCTACTGGCACTGGTGTTGGCCACTCAGCCTCACACCACCCAGGTACTACACCCACCGACCATACCTTCTTCCCCACTGTATTGTGTCCTGTAACCCTAATGTGTACTGTGGTGGTGTAGTGGAAGGTCACATGTACTACAGTTTGCTGTAATACTCCAGTGTAACTCGGTGTTTAGGGTGTTGGATGCCAAGGTAGTGTTGTGTAGTGTGACTGTGGTGTAACAAATACTTGTGTGCACAATATAGTGTTGTTGTTGTTGTTGTTGACATTCGCGTACAACTTAGCTTAAACAATCGTTAAAAATAAACCTGGATAGATATCTATAGTCAGCAAGTCTTACTCTTTCTTTGGGGAAAAAATCAGGTACTTAGTATTTGAGAATCGAGGTTTACAAGAATTTGATTAATATTTTTCGGGCAACTTTAATAATAACAATAATAGATAGACAGATTGATAAAGATTTTAATTATCATAAATATCACCTTAGGGAAATCATGATCTCCCCAACAAGTACAAAAACATCAAACACTCGCGTTCCAGAGTTCTGAACAGGTATGTGTTACATTTTAAGTGCATGATGTGCGAACGCTATCCCTCCTTCCCTTTCCTGGTCATAAGAAAAAAATCCGAATATTTCTACCTTGTAGTCTTTAAGACACTGTATACTGTTTAACAATTCGCCAGCAGTGTACTTTATCATCGAGTTTCAACGAGAATTTTGTAAAACATAAGACAAACAGATGTGTAGATATTTTATTAGGGAAAATCGTCACGTAAGCTCACATTATTTAGATAAACTGATATATATTCGGGAAAATCTTCAAATAAATATACCCTGGTTTTAAAGATATATATTTAGTAATTTCGTCGTAAAAGTACCTATACCATCATGTACAGTACTTAGTTCAATATATAACAAAGACAAACAGTGTATTGGGACACATCTTCCTCTGAGACTATATTAGTGATTGTTCCCCTGTCAAAGTCCACTAAATAAACTGGATAAACGATAAATTAAGTAAAGGAAGACATTTAGAAATAATTTCCAGGTTCTTTCTACGATAAACTGAATGATGATGGGTGTTAACAGGTCTATTTCACAATGTTTTATTTAAACAAGATTCTGTCCCGATATAATGTCTGCATGTGTTACTATTGTCCCGTATTGAAATTAACAATATATATCGTAAAGTTAGTGAGACTTTGATTATCTTCAGCTAAGTTATTATTAATAGGCTACTATACCTTATCTGGGCTACGCCTATAACCATAATGAATCGTTTCAGCTATGTTAACATCACCAGGCTACTTTTTCTGGTCTACACCTAGTGCTATGTTATTATGACTAGGCTGTTTATCTGGGCTAAACTTAGCGTTACAGTGATTACCTTCAGCTTTGTCAATAACACTAGGTTACTTAACTGGGCTACATTTAGTATTATAATGATTCACTTCAGCTATGTTAATATCACAAGGTTATTTAAAACTTTCAGATACTGTGTTAATTGTATCATTATGTAGAACCAGCGCCATGATTCTTTTCTTAAAAAATCAAACAATAACATAATTATCCTCAGGCTCTCAATTGGCTTAGCCATGTCAATATTTTTGTTATTATACACTGTATCTGTATTTTTCTGACTAATAAAATGTATTAATATAAATATCATAAGTTTTCTCATACAATATTATTATACAGTACATGGGTATATATTTATTCAGTAAAATAGTTAGCAAGTTCATTTTGGTTCAGCATACAGACATGCAGAATGCACAAAGAGTGTAGGTTACAATGCACTTACAATACCTAGTTCTAGTGGAGGTATATAACGTACAGTGCATAGAGTTACAGTAGATATATAAACAAGGGTAAGTAGTAAATTGTCAAAAATGTTCACGTTCGTTATTTACTGAAGACAGTCTTTTGTTCAGTAAAATCGTTATACAGTCTAAGTTTATATTTTTCACATATATTGTATGTATGCAAACAGAGGTAAACAAAAAGTATAAATTTAATGTTTTATTTCACTTATAATTTACATACTGTATTCGTTCATTTGTTTATTTTCTTTGCAATATGTTCGGTGATTGACGAGAGGCAAAAAATGGATGGGACAAAAAAGCAGGTTGAGATGGAAAGAGGGGTGCATAGAGCGAGGAGAAACATAGTGGGTGGCACAAAGAAAGCAGAAGAGTGGTTGGTTCACATCATGACCAAATAAAGTATAAAGATTAAGAAGGCGAGGAATGAGGGCTTGGGTGAGTCAGAGAAGTGTGTGTGTTTACATAGGGTATTTTAAATGCGGACGTGTGTGTGTGTGTGTGTGTGTGTGTGTATTTTTATTATTAATTTTTCCAACTACCTTAGACACAGATTCCTGCATGTTTGAGTATTTCGTCCCTCAATATCGGTCGTTAACACAATTGTCTTAGTTAAACTGGCGTTGAATTAGTGTTAGAACTCCATGACACGACTGTCGGGCGCAAAAACACGTGACAAAATACTACTTCTGTTACCAAGTGCTCTTTAACTCTGCAGAAAAATTTATGTAATGTTTATTTCTCGCAAAACTCTACAATTTGTTTAGTTTCATTATTTATAGATAATTATATTTACACTAAGGATTATCTGAATATGCGAAAAGGAAATTTGGTAAAGTTGTTACAGTATGAGATGTAAAGAGACGTATACGTGAGTGAGTGGTTGCGTGGCGGCCCCTGACACCTGACACCCTCCTGGTCCACCACCCTCCCCCTGTCCTTCACTCATTTATACAGTCTCTCTCCTCCTCCCACTCACCCTCCTTCTCCTCCAACTGCATCACACCTGACCTAGCTAGAGGTTGTCATTCATACTGTTTTCCTGGTGTATCAGATACATATAAACGCTCTTGTGATCACAAGTGCATATCATAAACATCTCTCTCCCCCTCTCTCTCACTCTCACACACACAATATTATATACGTATATATATATATATATATATATATATATATATATATATATATATATATATATATATATATATATATATATATATATATATATATATATATATATATATATAGTATACCCGTTGAGTACGATGACTTAACTCCTGAAGACAACATAATGTACTCAGGGAATTAATCGTCGAATTTAAAAAGATAAGACATCACCCTCAAGGGATCATGAGGTAGCGATTAATTCATAGTACTCAGAAGGTTGTCAGAGTACTCATGGCTTACTTGACGGTTAATAAATTTATTGACAAAGCTTGGAGTACAGTTTGCCTATTCTGAGTACTTCAGTCAGGTCTTGACACTGAGGGTGCTATCACTGTTCACTGTCATGCAGGACAGAGGTTCATACACAAAGGGGATAATAGTATACTGTAGATCATATTCATTAATATTATAGGTCATGTGCATGCAGGTGATAATCACTGTTCACTGCCAATCAGGATATTGGTTCATATACAGTATGTCATATTCTATTTGAGGACTAATCAGTGGGGCTAGCACACTGATTAGTCCTCAAATAGAATATGACTTATACTGTATATACAGTGTATATGACCACTGTCCTGTGTGGCAGTGCTCACGGCGTTAACATCAGCGCATGGTTACCGATGAAGAGCGACGCGATATTGTAAAGTGTAAACGTTGTATCATCGTACCATAGCATCTTAGTTTAATTTTTTTATTCACCCCCGATACATGTATGCATATGTTTTATTTTTGGATAGGTAATAATAGTACAGTATTTGCAGCATTAACCTTCAGTCAGAGTTACCGATATATCATGTAAATATTTATTTGGTAACTGAATATTCCCTTCGTTCCTCACCATAAATATACCAGATTATATATACGTAGTTTGAACATATAATCAACGTCATTGTGCATAACTAATTGGAGTCTTATCAGTAATTCACAGGGGACCTTAAGTCATGGGATATTACCAAGGCACAGTGAACCTTATTCATAACTGTTCAGCTGTCTGCATTTGAATATGATTCTGCTTGGCCTCTTTTTCTTCTTTCTTCCCTCTTCTTTGCTTCCTTTTCTCCATCTTTCTTTCTCTTCTTTTCCCCCTTTTCTTTTTTATTTCTCATGTCTAACTTCACTTTCCTGCTTTTCATCCCCTGCTTCTAATTTTCTTTATTTCTTTTGCCTTCTCCCTCTTCTTTGTAGATTAAAGTACTGAAGTTCTTTATACTGATACTTTAACCAGAATTTTCAATGCTGTTTTCGTTTACATACATAAAAACGATGAGTATCAAGACAGTCATACATACTTACAACGATAGTACTATTAAATGTATATGAACGGCCTATATTACTAAGCTAAACCATGTATAAGACTGTACATATATGAAACAATAAAACCATATTCAGTACTTTCCCGGCTCATGTAAAAGAAAATATTATATCTAATTAATTAAGACGTTTGGGTGAGTTTGGAAATGGTATTTTTGATACAAACAAATATTTAAATTTTTAAGGTGTCTAAATCTCAGATTTAATTAATTACAGCAGGAGTACTTATTTACAGTACAGTACATCATTGATTATTTGTATGAATGTGTATACTATTAACACATACATAGTAAACAGGAAAGTAAAAAATAAGATGGACATGAGTGTTACTACGCTGCACATGTGCTTCTCAGAACAGTAAAATATACTGTAAACAATCAAGACTGTATGTTGCTAAAAGTCACAGTTGACGTTTGTGTCGTGATGCAATGACGCTCACTTCATCTTCAGCGTCAGGCATTTGCATAACACACTAGAATGTTTCCAGATCAGTAGATGTGTGTATCCAGAAATATTATAAGATTTTGGGATTCGTCATCCCATTTACTCTTGTAATGAATGAGATTTTTGTTTAAACTATCTTTTGTAAGCCATTTGCAATAATACTTGTACCTTATGAAGATAATTTTAAGAGCTACGATGCTTATTATTTTTTATGCACTTTATAATTTACTCATACTATTGCTAATTCAACTAGTTGCTTTCAGACAGTTTTATAAGATCATTACTGTGTGGTGGGTGGGTGGGGTTGAGAGGCGTCCTGACACCACACCCACAAAGTGCTGCTCTTGTAACTACTGTAGGCTAGACGTTTCTTTTTATATTACAAACCTTGTTTATTTTCGTTATGATTTATATCTAATCAGATACGAATATCTTTAATAAAAGTGAATAGCACAAATTAATATATAATTAAAAAAAGAGTATTTTAAATTAACTTTACAATAAGGAACACGTGCAAACTATTATGTGTGGGCGGTGTTGACAGACAGATGGAGGGTAGAGTGTGTAGCCGGTTTGGCGGGCGCCGCTGGTGGTGTATCTTGTAAGACGTCATGACTTGTGATCCACCCAACAGGCTCAACGACACACGTCAGGAAACAAGTACCAGTAAGCTCGTGCAATGCTGCAACAGCGTATCTTTTACAGTCAATAAATGGCATGCCCCATCAGTGAGTCGCGTATAAATCTGATGAATTAAATTAATTTGATTTAACTCGCCTTCTTTCATATTTTATTTAATAGGATTATGCCAAGTGTATCTGGAAAGTTCCGGCAGTGAGTCAGTAACAAATGGCTTACAGGATGTTGGCACAGCTAAAACCCAGACAACTGGCAGCATCTGTTGACCCAGTCTGCTAACATCTACATTACCAGAAACTTATACGGGACTCATGTGACGTCATGTTCCAATATAAAAACGGCTGATTTACAAAAATAATGTAAACTTGCTTGATTTTTTTGGTGTACGTAAATATATAACACTTACGATCACTGATACATGAGCTGTTGGTTTAGAGAACAGATGGTCTTTGGTCATGTCAGTCGTAAAGACATGTGTGAAAATAATTATAGTACACGAGTACAGCATTGTGCGTCTTACTAAAACGAAGGCAGGTACCATATCCATTGAAAAACATAATTATTACATACACCTTGATTATTTTTGTATTAATTATTATAGGTTATTTTAATCACACACATACTAACAAAACACAGACCAGATGTTTAAAAAAAGTCTGTTTACCATGTTTTAGAGGGATATGATGTACAGTACGTAAGTCAGTCTACTGTATGTCATTAATTCATCTCGTAAGCTTTACTCCATAACCACTGATGCCGGAAAGGTTTGTTATGACTCATGCCATCTGTTTATATCCATTTGTTTGTTGACTTTCACTTGTATTCTTGATTTATCCCAAAAGAAAGTACAGTAGACAACCACAAGAAACCAGGTGTTCTCTGATGCCCTATGACCCCACATGTGCCTGCCAAGTGAAATCTTTAGGATTTCCGTTAAAATTTATAATTTACACAATTTGTTACGCCTCGGTGGCCGAGAGATAATTTGCAGACCACCTGTCTCTTTAATAAGAGATAACGTTGTAGTAGGAGCGGATCGATTCCGGTCACCCCCAGTCCACCCTTCTGTAAATTCCTGACTGTACAGTTGGGGAAGTAAAGGAAATCGAAAATAACGCTGGTTACTCTTTACGTTCTGAAGGATTATAGGGATAAAGTGTGCTGTATTCACACTGTACCTACCTGGCAATAATTGACAAAATTATGAGACCCACTTTCACTTCATAAGTGAGTATTGCTCCCTTGGTGTTTCAAAAACATTTGTCATGTAATATTTTCATACGAGTTTTTTTAATTAAGTTTTCTGTCTTGGGAGTGACATTTCTGTGGGTAATCATGTTAGCACGTCATAATTTTCTCTCATCAATTTTCCTCCCCCTGTGGGTGCGTGGAGCAGCAGCAGCAGCGCGGGGTTGACTATAGAGAACAATACACAGTTGACTATGGTGGCGAGGCAGGAAAAGCGAGGGTGGTGCTGGATTCTCGCCACCACGTCGCTTACATCACACCCCCTGCGGCTCGCCACCCCACCACACTCATCGACTTCAACAAGGCTAGTTTCCATTTCTTCTGTTATTTCTTTGGACACTTTCGGCAAAGTCTGACTTTTACTCGAGGATCATGATTTTCTTTGGATTAGAAAGAGTCATTTTCATGATATCCAGACATAATTTATAGTGAATAGCAGCGTTCGCCAGCTATAAACCAATTACTGTACATATGTATATAACCATGAGCAGATGGCAGTTTTTGTCAAGTGTCAACGGAAGAGATCATATTGACGTACATATGTGTATGACAGGCTAATTCCCGCGTCGCACCAGTTTTGACTTTAGGAATTAACCCCAAAACAGGGCGTGGTTGTGTACATGGTGGACGGAGAGTGTCTAGTGGAGACGCAGAGGGTGAGCCAGCGACGGTATGGCCGGTGGGTGCTGCTGCACGCCAACACCGTGACGCCACCCCCGCCACCACCCAACACCAAGACCCTCTACGTGGCCGACCGCATCCCCTCCATCAGGAGTAAAGTGAGTGGGATAGCGTGTTCTAACAAATGATACAATTGTCACCTACTGCCTCTTGACTCATAGTCGTCACCTACTGCCTCTTGACTCAAAGTCGTCACCCACTGCTTCTTAACTCACAATCGTCACCTACTGCTTCTTGACTCATAATCGTTACCCACTGCTTCTTGACTCATAATCGTTACCCACTGCTTCTTGACTCATAATCGTCACCCACTGCTTATTGTCATAATCGTCACCTACTGCTTCTTGACTCATAATCGTCACCTACTGCGATAAATAAATTATTCAAATTTATTGGTTGACGCTATTCAGAATCATATATCTATTGATCAGCTGTTTAATGATCAACTGTTCAGTAACCACCTATCTGTTGATTAGCTGGTCAAATATCACAAATCTATTGATCAGCTTTCCAATGCTCATCTGTTTTACTGGCCAGCTGTGTTAATTTGCAGGTGGGAGCGGCGGTAGGGGACCAGCTGGCGGGGTGGTGTGAGGACCGACCAACCTGGTATCTCACACCCACTCCACCACCATCACCACCTACTTCCACCCACTACCAGAGTTCCCCCACCCATCACCTCACACCCCGCCAAAGTAAGTCTTGTTATTAAATCTCGTAGTTCCTTATTTTTCTGCTCGTAATTTATCTTTTTGTTGGTATTTTTTTAATTTTTCATTTGATTCTTGTTGTTACCACCCTCACTGTGCGAGCAGTAATGGTGGAATTTATGATAACATATGTGAGTGTTATGATAACGGTAATAATACGAAAAAAGAGTTGCTATGAACACAGCGTTAACTTGTTAAGTTGAAGGAGTGAGGTTAGCAGAGTTGATGGTAGCAGTTTTGCTGAAACGGCACGCAAGTTGTGCCTACTGGAAGGGAGCGCAAATTAATGTGATAAGAGGGTGAGGGCAATTATGGGAGAATGATAATAGTAATGAGAAAAATTATTGTTATGTACTAAACGAGGAGACGATGGTGCTGAATTGGCTGGATGGTCACCCCGGTCCCCTGAACGATAACATACGGCAGTACCTCTCAACTGATCGCGCTAAACACACCAGAGGCTTTCTACTCCATCTGTCCTGGGTGGGGTAGTTCAGGACACACTGTCGAGCTGTGAGCACTATCACTTACAGACTAGTTATAGGACCCGTTACACCTAAATCTATGCTCTACGAGTCTTTATTGTTCTAAACTGTTATGTATTGGGAGATACTCTGTGTAACCGCCAATCAGACGGTTAGAGGGTGAATAATACTTCTCACGTCGTACACGAACATTATAATTCGGTCAAACCTGTTGAATACAATTCATTTAGTATTTCAATTAAGTCATACATAGGCACTCTTACATAAATGTTTAATCCAATATATATTTACATAACAATCATGGCTATGTAATTAGTCTAATCTTAACACAAAAACAATGACACAGTCTACCTGTGTACACAATAAGTACTAGTTAAACTTACGTGTTGAAAGTCTAGAGAGAAGCCAGGGTAGGTGTTGACTCTAAGATATGGGTAGCTATACCGAAATGCCCACCCTATAGCCTGGCCCCTTGGCTGGTCAGCTATGGCTGAGTCAGGTGATTATAATTATACATAAACAAACTCCCTTCACACCCTTCAACCTCCTTCTGGGCCTCTCATCTTCAACCATCTCAACACTCTACATTGTGAGTTACAGCCTAACATAAGAACAAAGGAACATAAGAATGGAGGAAACTGCAGCGGGCCGATTGACCCATACTGGGCATTCCCGATTACACCCAACCCCTATTGCTCATATAGGCATCCAAACCTATGTTTGAAGCTAATCAGCGTATTCGAGTTAATGATGATATTTGGTAACTTGTTCCATTCATCCACTACTCTGTTTCCAAACCAGTGTTTACCTATTTCACTCCTAAATCTAAATTTGTCTAATTTAAAACCATTGTTACGAGTTCGCTCCTGGTTGGATAGTTTGAGTACCTTTGTAATGTCCCCTTTGTTTAGCCCTGACTTCCACTTATACACCTCTATCAGGTCGCCCCTCTCTCTCGTCTCTCGAGGGAGTGCAAATTAAGATGCTTTAACCTGTCTCTATACTCAAGGTTCCTAATGCCCGGGATTAGTCTTGTCATTCTCCTCTGAATTCTTTCCAATGATTCTATATCCATTCTGTAATACGGTGACCAGAACTGAACTGCGTAATCCAGGTGTGGTCTCACAAGCGCAAGATACAGTTTTAGGATGACCTCGCTAGTCTTGTAACTAACACTCCTTTGTATGAACCCAAGTACTTTATAAGCCTTGTTATGAGCAAAAACACATTGTTTACTTGGCTTAAGGTTCCTACTTATCATTACTCCTAAATCTCTCTCGCAGTCGGATTTCTCTATGGCATCGTTATTAATCTGGTATCTGGTTTCCCTGTTTACATCTCCTATACTGAGTACTTTACATTTGTCCACTTTGAATTTCATATGCCATTTTTCAGACCATTCGAAAAATTTGTTTAGATCTTCCTGTAGTTTTGCTGAGTCCTCGTCAGATTTAATAACACGTCCTATTTTAGTGTCATCAGCAAATTTACTTATGTTGCTGTCTGTGCCGATATCTATGTCGTTTATGTATATAATAAATAATAATGGTCCAAGTACTGAGCCTTGGGGAACTCCACTTGTGACGTTGCTCCAATGGGACTTAGTGCCGTTAATGCTCACTCACTGTTTCCTGTCCTGTAACCATGCCCTAATCCATTTAAGGATGTTACCTTTGATGCCATGTGTTTCTACCTTTCTAATTAGTCTTTCGTGGGGGACTCTGTCGAAGGCTTTGCTAAAGTCGAGATATACCACATCATAATTGTGCTCCTCGTCCACCGATTCGAAAACTGATGAAAAGAATGTTAATAGATTAGTTAGACAAGAACGTCCTCTTGTGAAGCCATGCTGGGAATCATTGATCAATCCGTGCTTCTCCAGGTGATTTCGAATAGAGTTTGAAATGATTGCTTCCAGTAATTTGCCTACTATTGATGTTAGACTGATTGGGCGGTAGTTAGAGGATAGTGATCTATCCCCCTTCTTGAAAATCGGAATTACATTCCCTATCCTCCAGGATTCTGGTACTACACCTGTTTTTAAGGACATGTTAAACAACTTTGCTAAGGGCATACTAAGCTCTTCCTTACATTCCTTTAATACTCTGGCACATATCTCATCAGGACCAGGTGACTTATTAGGCTTTAGTTTGTCTATTTGCTTACTAACATCGTTACTAGTCACTACTATCTGGCTTAATTTGTTTTCTTCTCTATCTCTGAATAGAGTCGGTGCCTCGGGTATCATGTTTAAATTTTCGGTGGTGAAAACTGTTGAAAAATATTTATTCAAATTATTGCTTATTTCTCCGTCATTATCAGTTAGCTTGCCAATATCTGACCGTATTGGTCCAATCGTTTCTCGTGTTTTAGTTTGATACATTTGGTAGAATCCTTTGGGGTTTGTCTTCACCTCCCTTGCTATCCTTACCTCATTATTCCTCTTGGCTTTCCTTATCTCGGTTTTAACCCTACTCGCCAATATCTTGTAATAATCGTGGAGGTAAATTTCGCCACCCTTTATCCTTCTACCTATAGCCTTCCTTTGGCCAATGATGTTCTTTAAATAATTAGTTATCCATTTAGGGTCATTGTTGTCTGATCTGAGTTTTTTGTATGGTATGTTCTGCCTTTGTGCATTAAGTAACTCATTATTTAAATTGTCGTGGAACTCGGCAATCTCAGATCTCGTTATCAGGTTGGAGTCATCTGTCAGGTTCATGGCCAAGCGCGACACCCCCTCTCTCAGCTGCCTCTTTAAACTGTCAAAGTTTGCCCTTCTGAAATCTGGTACTTTAGTGGAATTTTCCTTACGTCTGCCCTGAAAATCTAACTGGAATCTAATTTCTTTGTGATCGCTGTTTGCAAGTTCGTTCCCTACCTCGACATTACTAATGAGATTTTCTCTGTTCGACAGAACTAAATCGAGTATATTATTACCCCGTTTGTGGGTTCGGTTATACGTTGACTTAGGAGACAGTCCTGGATCATCTCGAGAAAATCCTCTGATTCTGAGTTACCTGTAAGGTCAGTCCAATCTATTTGGCCAAGGTTAAAGTGGCCTACTATACAGACTTTGTTGTGTATGGAAGCCCTGCGCATTTCATCCCAGATAAGTCGCTCATTGACTCTATCAAGATTGGGAGGTCTATATATTACTCCTGTGATTAATTTTTCCCTACCGTCGATTAATTCTATCCAGATTGTTTCTGTATTCCACTCAGTTTTTATTTCCTTATTTATTTCACACTTCAGATTATCCCTAACATAGATTGCTACTCCGCCTCCTTTCCTGGTCTGCCTATCGGTATGGAACAATTTGTAACCCGCAATTTGGTATTCGAACGGCAACTCACGTGAGTCTAGGTTGATCCATGTTTCAGTGAATGCTATTATATCGATTTTTTCGGTACATACCAAGGCCCTAATATCATCCATTTTGTTTCTCATACTTGTACTGTTCGCATAGTAGACATTTAAGTTAGTCGTGTTCTGAGTCCTCCCTTTACCGCGTTTAGTTTTAAACTCCCTGTTTAATTTAGTTTTGTCATCATTCCTAACACTATTTCCCTGTAATCTTCTACTTTGTTTACCCGCTCCCACTGCAGTTTCCCCCACCCCCGTGCCCATATGTTCCCCTAGCAGTTTAAAGACTTCGATATCCTTTGAACTGCCCCCTCCAGAGACCCAGCTAGGGTTGCCACCCCATCCCTAGCATAAAGGTCCCTTCTGCCGTAGAAGTTGTCCCAGTTGTCAATGAATGGGACCGATATTGACTTGCAATATCTGTCAAGACGGTCGTTGACACCAACCGCCCTTGACAACCATTCACTGCCAACTCTCCTTCTAGGCAGGACACGGCATATGATAGGGATCCCTCCCTTAGACCTAATACGATCTATAGCTGCCTTGAACTTATCAAGAAGCTCCTCGCTCCTACACCGGCCAATATCATTGCCTCCTGCACTGAGGCAGATAATGGGTTTGTTCCCATTACCAGACAAGATATTGTCCATCCTGTCAATTATATCCCCCACCCCAGCTCCTAGCAAACACACCCTCATCCTATTTTTGTTTTTACCTCAAAAGGCCCTGTCCAAGTACCTTGCCTGTGAGTCACCAACAATTAAAGTTTTATACCTTCGTCATCCCTGTCCCTGACTGTACTAACGTCCAATTCGTCTATCAAGGGACTGAACGAGTTGGTACACTTAGCTGTTGTTGGCGTTGTTGTCGTATCCTTGGTGTACTTCTTCACCACCAGCTTGGTCCTCCCACTCCTCACAATCTTCCACTGGCTTGAGTTTTCGTCAGACACTGGCTTTCCCTGTCCAGCCTCCCCTTTTAACCTCGCCAGCTCTTCCTTTAATTTCAGGTTCTCCAACGTGGCCCTCTCAATTTCTTCCTTGGCCCTCGCCAATTCTTCCATGGACCACTCCAGTTTGGTCAACAAACTCGCACAACCAAGACCGTACATAGCGCTGGCCATATCTGATAATT